AAATCCTCAGAGCTGCTCTGTTTCAATTGACCTCCTCCCTTGCTCACTTCTTTTAGCATAAAAAAGATAAGAGTAAATGAACTTTCTTATGCTGAACATTAAGGGAAAAAACTTCTTTAAAAAACACATGGCCCATGACCAATACAGAATTTCCCAGGGTTTTATTTACTAATTTTTTAAGGGGACAAACTATTAAAAATTATCAGTGCTAGTGCACCAATTCACTAAATGAGTAGACATGATCATTTTACATAGTAGTATTTAAATTCAGAACACTACAAGAAACCAACAAAAAAAAAGCAAGTTCTTTTATCAATTGGCTATTTTCTAGATTTGCTTAAAAAAAATGTAGTTTTTCTGTGAAGTTCCTGGCTTTTGTTGGGGTTTTTTTGCTTTTTTTTTTTAAATATTATTAATTTTTTTTTATTTAGATAATAGTACGGGGGAAAAATAAAGTAGAACTTACAGAATGAATGCAAGTGTCAAGATTGCTTTAAATTATTTTTTAAGCAAACAGAGCACAAAAGCAATCCTTTAACCATCTACTAACCTCAACTTGATTTGCATTGAAAAACAGGTAGAGCATAGTAGTTGAGGTTTGTGCTTTGTAAAAGCAAAAGAAATACATGGCAGTTGCAAAGCATTCTTAACCTCCAGTGATTTATTGGCCCTCAGCCAAGTTATCAGGGGAATCTAATTCTTCTTTATTATTCAAATAAACCACATTTGGCACCATGGTTCCTTTTCAGAATAGCTTCACAAATAGACTGAGTACTGTCATTTATTTGACCTTGTACTTGTGTGCTGTAGCTATAATTTTATTTGCCATTTCACAGAACAAATGCACAGAAAGCCAAAATAAGGAGATAGGTTACGCTACTAGTAACGCAGTACACATGTAATATACCTGTTGGTTTGGCCTGCTTTGTTTTAAAAAGGACAAAATCTCAACAGTTTATTCTTTTTTTTTTTTTTTTTTTTTTTTCCTATTATGGCTGCAGCTGCACTGCTCCCTTTTAGTGAGCTCTCTTTGCAACAGGCCAATTTGCAAACCTGGGCTGTGTCCTGGGCAAGTAGGAGCAAAGGTAGGAAATATTTTACTTTAAGGTGTGGACCTCACAAGAGGTGAAGCAATGCATAATATCCTTATTGACTACAACTGTTGGGGAGAGGTGAATAAGAACTTGTTTCCTGACAGCAAAAGTATCCTAGCCAGCTTATCAGTCCTCAGTATTTTCTATTGACCCTGAAACCTCATACGTCTGACTATTTTATCCTTTGTTCTGGATAGATTTTTCTCCCTATTTGTTACCATTTGTGTTTCAGCATATTTTTGGCCTAAGTCTCAAACACAGGGACTTTGCAACAGAACTGAAATCTCTTAGGTCAGCCCTGATACTGACTTCTAAGTGCCTGAAGGAATGATTTGAGTGCCTCTCCAATGCCCTGATATGATGACTCACTTTAGCCATCTACTTTTGAAATCTCATCCCATTTCTAGCAGGAAATCAGGGACTGGGTATTAAAAAAGATGGCAGTTACCCTGATATCAGAAATCACCTGCTGACTCAAAAATGTCCAAGAACAGAAATATATGAAGACAAAACATTTTTACATCACTACAGAGGTGCAGTATAAAAAGCTGTTTGTATTGGCAAAAGGGTAAGCTACGTCATCAGAGGTCATGCTGTCCAGCCCAGGGAAATAGCCTGGCTGTACTGCACGTTTCTAGACATGTCTGAGTCCTCCAGCAAATACTATAGTTCCTGAAACTACTGAATACCAGAAAGTATGTGGGACTATTTCAGTTTGCCCCAAGTATAATTGAGCTATGACAATTTATACAGACTAAGGATCTAACTGGGAGATTTTGGTCCATTTCTGTTGCTTTTATTCTCTGCCTTCAATTACTGATTATTTTCAGCTAACTTTGTATCTTTTCTTCTACTTTGAAATGCACCTGTGTTCTCTGAAACTGCTCTGATTGCAATTCCACAGTGTGCTCTAAAATCCACGTCTGCCAAACTAACGTAAAATTCTTGGTTAGCAATAGATGGAAGATAAAATGTTCAAAACATATATCTATGCATGTCTACATGCAAGGTACATTCACTGCCACGTCAAAAGAGTATTTATTGTAATTTTTGTTTACTGTTCAAATATACTGTTGTTTTTTGCCAGAAGTAACTTTATAATCCTCATTGCTAGGCTACCTCCCAAGATCTTGTTTTATCAGATTTCTTTACTATTAGCCCTGCAGCTATCTTAGAACATCAGCATCCATTTGTTTTGTACCACTGGCTCTCAGTGTTCAGAAAAGAGAAAAATCGGGTTCCATGAAAAACTGTTTTCACCTGCTGAGATTCAGTACAAGGACTATTTTCCTTCAGCTAAGAGACAGAAGATTTTGCTTTGCAAGTACAAGATATATGGTACATTATTTCTATGCATACTAGTAAAAAAGAAAAAAAGCTCAACTGAACAAGGATGAAGTCTCTAAGAAGTCATTTGACTAGAAAGTAAGACTCCAAAGTCAGCACTTGAAGAAGATGATTCAAATAAAAATGCTTATAATGTACATCCAGACTTTCTGAAGTGCAAAATTACCTAGAGGTTCTATGTAAAAATGTAGTTGGGGAGTATCAGGATAGGGACCTATCAATATCTACCTGCAGTTCAAGAAATGCAACACCACATATACCACATAGCACCATCCCAGAAATTCAGAATTCACAAGTATTTTAAGACTGTTGTAGTGATAATAGTAGCATTTCCATGTATAGTTTGAGAAATGGTTTTATAGATACTCTTGCTAATTTTTTTTGTAAGAAATAACACTTTGAATAGTGATTTGGTAACAAGTAGCTACAGCATTTCTTTTGTCATTATTAAGAGACCTAGCTATATATTATGTCCAGAGAACTACATATTAAACATAAAAATGCAGTAGGTCTGAGAAATACAAAATGTCTCCATAAAGACAGAAGAGAAAAAACAATGAAATCACATATATTTTAGTAGAAGTCAGCGGATTTCATCTATTATTATATGAAAATCCACAGTCCTGATTTTTGGTGTTTTTTCCATCAATACTTTCAGCAGTGAGTGCAAGGAAATGTTTGTCCTGATATATCAAATACTCTCATATGCAAAGACAATTGATTTATTTATCTGAACCCTTGCTTGAAATGTATACGGGGATCAAGATGAAGCGTAAAGTCTTAACAACGTGGTGTAAGTTCAGAGTAAGGAAAGATTTACCAACTCCTATAGTTAAAAAGACAGTGGCAGAAAATGCTTTTAACAAGAGACTAGCATAGGGTTAAAGCCAAATTTTTCTTGAACAGATGATATTTCAGATGGCCACACTATTCCAGATGCATCAATTTCCTTGAAAATCCAATCCATATATGTGCATATGCTGTGCTGGCAGGAGGACTGACTGAAATGGCCAAAACCCAAGAGCTAATATTCTTTTGGCCAGAATAATGCAATTATTATTTTCCTAGCTATCAGTCTAAGCATACAGAGCCATCTGTTATGCAAAGCAAACATACACATCTCAATTACAGAAAATGCAGTTGCCTTGACAGAATTTGGATTACACCACTAACCAGGGCTGTAAAATTTGTTTTAAGCTCGTGTATAATGGATGCCTTTCAGGAGTTTCCTAATTAGCATTTACCTGCTTAAACTAATTATCCATCCTTCTTCTTTACTGGCTTATTAAACTTCGTTGGATACTATGCATAAAACACATTAATATGAGCATAAGACAATAATAAACATTAAAGTTCCGATTCTTTACTCTATTAGCAACATGGTGGCGCACCAATTTCAAAATTTGAGATTCTTGAATGTAACTCCCAAACAGATTAAGGCAGGGATTAAAGTCTATTACAAAACAAGGGACATTAATGAGAGACAAGAATACTGATATGAGTTAGAAACAGCTCTGTTTCCATTTCTATCATTTGGTTTGCTAAAGCCAGCACAAAATAACAATTACTGAACTTATTACAGCCAATTGCTTGCATGTTCTTTGAGGAGTTAATGACCCTCTATTCGGATTCTCACCAGATAATATTTAAAATTAGTCTTTTTCTGCACCAAATGTTAAAATTTCCCATTTCATTGTTGTTGGGGTACAGCAAAACTGACAGTTGCCAGTGCTAACAGTTGCCTCCTCATAGCAGTATGGGTCCCAATTTAAAGGAACTGAAATAAATATCATCTCAGTTTTTCTTTTTCTCGTCAGGGTGACTGCAATAGAAGTAGATTATCCTATTCTGAAAATCATCATGCAAAATCTTTCTGCTGCATTTCTAAGCACAAGGAGAAAGAAGTGAGCCTTCCTAAACATTTCTGAATGCTGCAGGATTAGGAATAAGCATCAACAAGCAACTTTTGTCCTGCTTTTTAATCTTTGAAAAACAGTTGTCGGCAATTAAATAAAATAAAAAAAAATTAAACTATTATATTTTATAAATTTGTCTTTTCGTACTAGTGAGCATTTGTGAAAGCGGCAAAATGTGTCCTTGTTGGAACCCTCCCTGCAAGACATTTTAATGGTCTCTTTCAGCATTTCTTGACTCCAAATGACTCCCTGTCATCGTGTCAGCTCCCTGGATAATGCAGGGTACTCCATAAACATCCAGTAATAGGACACAAGGGAAGTACTATTAGTGTGTCCCTTTCCTATCAGGTATAGAGGTTTAAAGTTCAAAACAACTGAGAAAAGAAACTTCATTTGTTCTCAATAAATTAATAATGATCCTTCATGGCAAAAAGTTTTCAGGCACAAGTTTGTCTTATCTCAACATCCAAGACTGATAGATACCTTTTTCAATTACTTCTCAGGATGAACCAGATGCAACTTTAAATAACTAGTTCAACAATCTCCGCAAAATACAGAAACCAAATTATTATTTCTTTAAGAATGATAAACAGAAGAACACATCATACATGATTATGTTCTAGAATTGAAAGCATGTACTTACTTGGGACAGGCCTAAATAGATGGAGACGGTTTCTGAAATGTACAAAAATTTTCCTTCTTGATTTAGTGCAAATACAAATCCATCCAGGGACTACAGAGTAAAGAAAAAAAAAAGGGGAATAGGTTAATAAAAAATTCTAAATTCCAGATAGAAATAATTCAAACAAGGGCATCACAGAATAAATAAAGGAAAATGTTCTGATTTCTAAGAGAGTGTTTTTAATTTGAATCCTTAAGACAATTATTCCTTTATATTCTGTCTACATATTAACAAACAGCATATGAGTATATTCCAAAGTTCAAGGACTTATTGTTGTGCTTACATCTGCTATATACTGTATTAAATTTATCTCATTTGCATGACAGAAGAAATACAGAAAATGTTCTTCAATTTTTTACAGGAAGAAATAAATAAGGAAAACAATGAACCTTCCAATCAAATGGTATGTAAGAACATACCCCACCCCCACACCCCCCCCATCCCCCAGAATCAAAGCAGAGAATTGCAACTTCCTAAAACTGAGAAAGAGAAAATAAAATCCTACCATCACTCAAACCACTATGGACCTCAATAATTTGTTAATTAATTGAGGATTACACACACACACACATATGCACACGCGTGCGCGCTTATCCTCCCCCCCCCCATTTTCCTTTTGTGAGAAAACAAACAAAGCCAATCAGCAGATTACTGTCAAATATGTTTACAGCTTAGGTCTACAGAAATGTTACGAATTTCATCCCTTTGGTGTAAAACTCTAGATCAGATTTTATTTTGACAGGTTCAAGTCTTTGGATGTGATTTCCATTGCAACTGCAAAAATCAAAATACGACTACACAGATTAATGCATACCTTTTGAAACATGAGTGCAGTTAATAAACAAAGGACTATATTCTAAACTGACACATGGAGTAAATCACTGCACATCAAGACAGAAATATACCTCTAGGAATAAGAGCAAATCTTCACTAGGAAGAAACTGCCTTTCATACACTGTATGTGCCTTTACTTTTATGCTTTTCATGAGGACGATTATTGGCAAAAAAGCATTCACTATTGCAAAAGTAAAATCACAAAATTCCAGAAATTAAAAATGCTAAAACAACTCAGAAAATAAGAATCACCCCAAACGTTATGATGAACAAGAAATACTCCCAAAAAATCTCATCCCAAATATCTCCTTGGGATAAAGGTATGTGAAAGTAAAAATATAACTGTAGCATTTGCAAGATCAACCTGGTTTTGGAATTAAAAATAAGAGATGCACACGAATTTGATGGAGGTATATGATGACAAAGTCATGCAATCATTTCACTCCTTTTCAAATACAGAACAGTGATTTCTGAGGGGTTTTAATGTTTTATTCTTCCGCTTCTTGATTAATTTCTAACACGCTGCTGGTCAGAAGCTGTCTTTGGCAAGTGTTCACCCCTCTCTGATGTAGTAGGTGGTGGAATTAGTTCAAAAATCTGTGTTTTCTAAAAAGAATAAACCACATATTGGAAAACAAACCCTCACTAAAGACACTGCATTAAAGAAAGACTCTAATTTATATTTATGAATTAATAAAAATGTAAATCTGCATAGATTTCCTTCATGTAAAAACATTTATATTATGCAAGCCATTTATGGCCTCTTATAAATCATCATCATTTCTTTTCAAATGATTAACATCAGTTCCTTGAATTTTAACATCAATAACAGGTGGAAAATTTGGAACAGTGAAGTTCAGACTTAGATCCATACAAGGACAATCAAAACCTTTACACATTTGATCTCCTCCGCTATGTATCATTTCTTTTGCTACTATCCACTTTCCCTATCACAGAAAGATCAGAAGAGTAAATCTTTAAAGGTCTTGGTTTAAGTTTTCCTGATGCTTGTCCCTCTGTCCCGTGTTCCTTTGAGGAAATTGGTTTAATCCTCTGGTAGAAATAAAACTGAGAACCATCGCCCTGAGTCCCTGGCTGCCTATATATGTTCTTGCTAGAAGGCCATTCTCCACAAGGAACAATAAATTGCCATACTGAATCAGACTAACGGGCTACCTGCAGTGGTCAGGTTTCCTGGGTCTGACAGTGTGTGCCTACACACTTAAAATATCCATAATGGTTATGTAGGTAATGACAAGCCAACCAGAAGTTTCTTTCTGACCTCAGGTTGTTACCAGTTGGTATGACCATGATGGCTAATATTCCTTATAATTATTTTTTATAACTAGTGTGCTCAAGACTTTTTTGTCTTTTTTTGGGAATTCTGTTATGTTCTTGGCTCAGTGATGTCTTGAGGAAAGAAATTTCACAGGTTATTTATGTATTATATAAATCCAACTTTCCTCTTCTCAGTTTTTTACATTTCCAGGCTTTTAGCACGGTCCCTTTGCTCTTTTACTCGAGAGAGTTACATGCAGTTGGAGCACTTATATGGTCTATTCTGTTTAGTACACTGCATTACCATGCAATTATCTGGGATATATGGATAGAGTTTTGTAAGAACAGCAAAAAATAATTCTCTGAGTCACTGATGGCTTTCCTGCTTCTTTCCTATGCATCATCTTGTTTAGGAATTCAGGCTTCTTAATGAAACAAAAGTTTGAAGAAAGCTTTTAGTACTGATTAGGCAGCAATGTTTTCCTCAGTGTTGTCTTGGAATTGACTGAAACCAGTTTTGTTGGAAAAATATAAATAAATAAAATGATCTCTGGTCAACACAACTGCACAAAGAAATTTCAGCCTTCGTGGCTAACATTTGGCAAGTCATCAGCAACTGGGAAGGATGTTATAGTGAGAAGTGTTAGACACCTCAAGCACTTGCCACTGTTCCATGCCATCAACTCTGAAACTCTCCGTTAAACAGTTTTAATGCTTTATCCCTTCTCTTTCTTTCTGGGAGACTATTCCTTACTTTTGCCTCCTCATTTTACAAGGGAGGTACTGAAGAGGCACCACCAGATGGACTGGCAGGGCCAATGCAGCACACCCACAATGCCTTTGGCTTCTTGCGTGATTAGTCACTTCCCATGCCATAAAATTAATTCATTAGGCCAACTGAGACTACTAAGTCATGGTCAGTCCTCCTTTCTCCATTTCCTTTCCATCTTCCCTGAAGTTATGCTTGGGTACAAATATTGACCCGATTCTACATTTTGTTCACTAGAGCAAAATCAGAAAGTTTATTTAATCATGTTCTGAAAAAAACACTGATTAATAGCTAATGGAACAGCTAACTACTTCCATGCCCAAAATACAGAGACATTAGAACAAAGGCTCCGAGTACTAAGCTCAAGTCCAAATACCTATGAAAAATGACAATAAAAATAGGGAAACAAACAGCCACCTTGCAATGCAAGGCAGTTCCTCCCACCAGTATGAAAGGGCTGAGATGGACCACTTCTGTGACAACGTTGTTGTTCCTTATACAGGTCAAACAGTAGTTCTGAAGGACTGTCTCATTCGTTATTCATAGGTATTATTTATGAATATTTATTATTTAAGTAATGCGTGTTGAAATTTTTCAATTTTTCATAAAGCGTATGTCCTTTGTGCATGCCAAGAGAGCAGCAGACTTCAGAGAAGGTGGCAGGAAACATAACAGAGGTTATGCTATATACTGAAGAAGAGGATGTGATACCATTGTATACTACCTATTTACAAACAATTTTGTTTTAATGAGAAATCTCTGGAAGCATTATTCACATTACCTATGTATAACTAAAGGCACAATAAGTGCCAGAAGGTCCTGGATTTAGTCAACTTTCAAATCTCTCTTTTAAAATTAGTGCCACAGTGTAATTTCCAGGCAGAATTTCTGAACAGTTTCACTGTAGTTCAGAGGCAGGTAGGATTCCCGTTTCAGACGTTCCACAGTCATCATCAACTATAGTATAGAAACAAGTCCTGCAAAGGTAACTGTTTTTACATAAAGTGTCCTATTTTCATTGAAGCAGAGGCCATGAACATAAAGGTAGAGCATCTTCTTTTAGGAAAATATTCTTGAGTTCATTTCTTTTTTATTTTTATAAGTGAAGGTGACTGTCATAAACCCAGACCTCTCCCATCTAGTGCGGCAGCTGAAAAAGGGTCAGGGTGACCCCCAAATGCCAATTTTGAGCACAATCCAATTTAAGGAAGACTGGCAACTTCTTGTTTAAACCTACGCTTACTGGTTTTATGCAAAATGTGATTAAAGCTGAAGTTCCCTGGTACTTTTGATTTCAGAAAACCATTATGTATTATGCTGTTTCAATCACCACAGGCTACTTTTTAATTTTTTTTTTTTTTTAACTGCCCCACTGTTTTCAACAGGCGCCAATTAAGATTCTGGGGTCAAAGGGTTAATTACATCTTCTTACCCACTATGTAGAATTTTCTGATTATTAACCAAGGTTGGATTAAGATGAAAAAGAACCGACACAAATGTTAATGCTTGCCCCTCCTCGAGAAGATTTATCATAATACCATGCTGAAATCTATATGCTTTCTTCAAAGCTGTTAGAGAATGAAATCTTAGAGGAAACACTAAAATAAATGCTTTAAAGACATGCAAGTATCTGATTTATTGAGCCAGTTTTCTTATTCCAGAAAACTGTTCTAAACTAGCGAGACAGGCCTGATATAAGATTTCCTTTGTCACATACCAGCAAGTCAATGTGGTAGACACGAAGGAAGTGAGACTCAGATGTAAAAGTCACTAGCTACAGCACCTCTGAATAATAATGCCAATAATTATAATTTATATCCGCTGACATCAGAATAATATGGAAATGTAAAGCACGGGTTTTTAACCCAAAATACTAAGTGTCTCTTACAGTATTTGTAGAATAGTGAGGTTATTTCCTCTCAGGATATGAAACCCACTGTAGCACTTTGACCGAATATGCACTAATGTATAATGCATCGTTCTAAATGGATTTATATTTGTCAGAGGAATTTTGTCCCAGCCATTTTTGCATATTCCCACTACAGGCAAATTTAATTCACTGGAGTCTTACTACAGTGTCCTTCTGGAGAATATCCTCATATTTCACACCATCCATGAAGTCCCTAATTCTTTCTAGTGTATTCCAGTGCTGCAAAAAACCCTGTTACCC